TTTTCGAACAAAAACTGGAAAATATACTCCCGATTTTGCTCGCCTGTTGTGCACATAGACTTGCAGTCACAAATCTGCATAGGCATTCGTCGTCACAACAGAAATTTTAGATTAGTAATGTACACGATTTTCTCCTTTGCCAGTATTCACGTTTTGTGTCCTTTTATTTTTCTGGACACGATTAACTTCCCCTGTCCCCGGCAACATGATCTCCTGTGGCTCTGACAAGGAAACAGCATCAGTGGATTTTAGGCGAAATAAGAGCACAGCATAATATGTGGTGTTGCAGTGCGTTCACAGCTAATCGAGACGCATTTTTGGCAAAGGGGGTTGAAATAATCGTTATCGATGCCCAGCCACCTTACAATTCCAGTCAGAAACCCCGGCGTGACTACATCCAATTTTCAAATTTCTTTGCATCCGACATGTTATTACATATATACGCAGGTTTTTAAAGCTACAAGTTTTATATTTTCTATGTTAGGAAAATTAGACATTTCTCCATGGTATTATGAGGGAACAATGCAGGCGCTCATGAAACTTTCCAGTAGATTATAGCACATTACAAATTTTAAAAGTGATACTAGTAAATTTCGAGACAAGATGTTTTGTAAATGGGCGCTTCACGGTTCCAAAATTCTCCTAATTAGAAGCTTTAAAACAGAAGTATACCCCTTCTTCAAGTGTGGAATTTGAAGAAGACGTAAATTTCTGTTGAACGAGTAAAAAGTTGAACATGTTTACATGAAGGTTCTCTGTGAAATATATTTCAATTCATAAATGTACCAAAAATCACATAGGAAAAGTCGTGCATATTAAAAAGCCATATTTTACAGAGTGTAGTGTTTGAAGGCGGCCAAAAAGATAATCCTTCGAAAGCTGACATCCCGAAATAACCGAATTATCTTAGAATTATGTTGCATTTGTTACATGCTACAATCCTACTGTAGTAATCTTTTTGAGCCGAAAATGCATTTCGGGATTTCGGCTAACATTTCACGAGTTAGCACATATATTGCAGTCCCAAATGACGGGCAAGTTTCTAAAAGACACTACAGTTACTCATTATCACCCTGTACATACACTTTTCTACGGAAATGTAATGGAGCACGGTAACAAACAAATACTGAAGAACCTGCCTGCCGCATATCAACTGAGTCAGCCGTATCTCTCGAATTCAATGGATGATCGAAATGTTTCTTCTAACGAGACAGATACTCCGAGAATCAGATTACCATCGTATCAGACAATTGGTCAATAGGCGAACGTGTTAGCGGATCCACCGATCCGCATGTCTATACACAGCAAAGACAGAATGCACAAAGCGTACCACCAGTTTACACCTTCCATTCGAAAATTTTTTTCCGCCGCTCAGTATCGTCCAATCATTGCTTTCAAATGTACGAATCCCCGCGTGGGCACCACAAAAATAATGACTTCTTGGTGAATATTTTATTCTTCCACACCTCTATATGACGAAAAAACGTCATGTCCCAAACCAGTATAGGATATATTCTTTCCCATTTCCCTTGGAATAATTAATAAGGGCATTAGAGACATTGACGCAGTCTGCATTTCTGTCCACGGCGGCATTTTGAGCAGGCGTCGCCCTTCTTGTACGGCTCCTCACCTATCCAATTTCCTCTGAAATTTAGAAATAACAGCGGGATCATTAAGTAAACTCGAAAATACATTATGTAATGTATCGTTTCGCACATGTCCACTTGTTAGGCTTGTTCAATTAACTATCACGAGCAATAAAGGAATACCGTTAACCAACGGATTCCTCAACTGCGTATATCGCAAATCGCATCTTTATCATACAATAGAAACTTTCCGATATGGCTAGAAAATCCTTGGATAAACATTGCTTTCTTTTATTGCGTAGAGTACTAAAGTAAGAACTTTGGGTCAAAATACTGTGAATGCCGTTAACCCAACATTTTTGAACAAACAGTTTAAAATACATTCCCTAGTTTGCTCGCTTCCTCTGCCAACGGACTTGCAGTTCTAAATCTGCCTAGGCATTCGTCGTCGCGACAAAAATCTTAGATTAGCAGTTTACACAATTTCCTCCATTACCAACACTTGCGCTTTGTGTCCTTTTATTTACCTGGACACAATTTAACTTTCCCTGTCCCCGGCAACATGATCTCCTATTGCTCTGACAAACAAGCAGCATCTGTGTATTTTAGACGAAATGAGGGCACAGCATAATATGCAGTGTTGTATTGCGTTCACTGCTAATCGGGCCGCATTGTCGGTAAAGCCATAGAGGGCTGAATTAAGAATAACTGGTGCCTAGGCTAGACTTCGTCTGCTGACTGTCGAAAGAGTCCGCTTCTTGTTGTCTATCACGATTGCAAGTTTAACCTTGAAACGCGTTGCAGCCCAGATTGTGCAAACATGGCGAGCTTTCTCAACTGAACCGCCACTTTCTGATCTATTGTATTCTTATCGACATTTTTTATATTTGCATGCTCTGCCCAATTTTACACGTCATATACCGATTTTTTCTTCTCTTCGCATGTCTTGACCACGGTAATGGAGTCATCTACGCATTGACTTGGCATCGTTTTGACAAAGGTGAAATTTGACGCGGATTTTGGAAATTATTCACCGACGATTTTTCGAGGTGCCATAAATTATCGCATGAAGCACTTTTATGCTACGTGTTCTGTGTAACCAATTTTTTCAATGCAAATAAAAGTATTTTTTAAAAAATTTAAATATGATAGTTCCAAAAAAGCGTGTCTCTCTTTCTAAATTTATAAATGTGCTAACAGTACTAAACTAAATGAATGCAATTTGCCCAAATTTTCTGCCTAAGGCGCAGACAGGAAGTTGATCGTACATTCAACTTACCTGGGATAGTACTGACATGCCCACAGATACGTCTTCATGCCGAATATACCGTCACATCTATTGTAGGAACAGCCTACTTTGGTTGTGTTTGACCAAATCATCTACAGTGAGACAGAAGAAGGCCCACCTGCAACAAATCTAGCAGTATAGTCTGACACGATATTGAATATCAGCGAAAAGGAAAATTTTACAATTAACAAAAGTGATTTTTCATATGTTGGAAACTCTGCCAAAGAAATAGACGTACCGCGGAGTAGTGTGCACAGGGCTCTTTGGAGCAGTAATTTTGTTTTCCAAGATAGTTTGCTCTCTCTGCATACCACAGAGCCATTGCAACGTGTAGACTGTCGAGGGGGTCTCGATTTCCCGCAGTCGCTAAATTCTGCCCGTACGGCTTATATCTTTCCGACGTTGGGTGGTCGTCCACACATTGGCTCACCCACTCTTCAGCCAGTTTTTCCAATTTTGTGTCGTAGGTCTAAAGACAAATATGAAAGTAGGAAATGTTCCTCCAAAGAATGCCCTATCTAGTTTATTTGACATTTTGGATTAAGCGAATTCACTTACCATTGTCTGCATGTCTGCCGCGCCAGGGTACACGGACTTCCTTGCTAGATTGTGGTATTCCATGATGATGGTGATGTAAGGCTGAGAGAGCCCCAAGCTCATTGCGACAAAGAGCAGTAGCAGTGCATGAATGGCGATCATCTGTGAATGCATTTCTCTGCAGAGTAAAAATCATTTTGTTCAAGGGGGATGATCAATGTTTAATCAAATTATGGTTGGGAACGTGTTTTGATATGTATTCGTCAAGTCATCTAGGAGTCTATTCTAAATCAGCACTGTGTGTTCTGTTAATATAAGACAGGCAAAGCGAATTATTTAAAAAAACTGTCTGTGAGTTATAATGTCTAAATCGTAATAATGCCACTATTGCTTTGCATATTCTAAAGCTGTTAATCTGAAGCCATAATTCTACTTAGGCCCCACTGGAAGGCTCATTGCTTGCTGGGCAATAACTCAGTAAGTTCCCATACTTTTCAGGGTTCGAGTGCCTGTTTTAATTGCAAAAAATGCAACGCACCACAAAGGCGCTTGCATCATGTTTTGTAACTTATTGCTCAGTAACACGACCAGCCTTCTTCAAAAATATTGTGCTTTAAGTTATGTTACGGTGTTTCTGTGGAAGCGTATTCACTTGAATAAACTGTACTTAAAATTAAACAAATTTGACCTCGTCGATTTCGAAATTTCCTTTTTGACTTTGCAAGCAAGATAAGGCGCCCTGCGTGAGTGTTTCAAGAAGCAACGCATAAATATATATATACACAGTTGAAACGTCAGTTATTAAATACGCGTGAATATTTGCGGACATAATCGACCACAAAAGAAGATTTATGGGCTTTTGTGGGAAAGTCAACAGGTATTTTTTCACATCGCCCTGTGTGACACAGAAGTGAGAAGAACAATTTACCTGCGACTTACCGGAATAACGATGCGAATTTATTGGAAGTAGAGGAGTTAACAAAACAGGATCGTTCCCAGAAAGTGAATTTGTTAAAATCACGGTAGTATAGATGAGGTCACTGAGGCTGGTCAAAAGAGAACATCGGTAATATTGCTTGCAAGTCGAACCCCAGTGAACTGATGTATGATGTATAAAACAGACCTATGGGGACGCCGAAGTGTCATCGCACTCAGTGGGCGATTCTCTTTTGCATTAACTTCATTCCTCGGACTTTAATCATGAGTGTGCCCTACTGTGTGCGACAAGGAAAATCACTATACTTCAAGCCCATCGTCATGCTGCTTAGTTTGGAGAGGTAGCGAGTCGTATGTAAGTGATTACTATATTTATTTTCTGGGATTAGGCGATATAAGCTAAATTTACGCCCTACCTCACTAGAGAATAAGATAAGCCTCTCATCTAGGCATATAAATCTGATTTAAATATGCATTTTTTTGTCAGGATTTAAGAGAATTAGAATGACGGATATTACTCATTTAGACACACGAAGTCCACTTTTAAATCGTTATAGGCTAAAAACATTGTGTTGACATTGGAAAAGATGACAGACACTGGGAATCTGGGCTCCCTGGATAATTGTTGAGGGGAAAACTTTTGCTAGCGGTTGACGGTTGTTTGAAATCGTTGCTCAAGTAATGTAAAGCTTAAGAAAAGTGAATATCAAATATGTGAAATTAGCATAAAAACGGTTTTTACAAATATTCGCAATCTTGGACAGCTGAAATTGGCAGCAGGGTATAATCGTCAATACTCACTTTTATATAATATAAAGTCTCCTTTTCAAGTTCAAGTTTACTACATCGATAGAAGCAAACAGGCAAATTACAGAAAACAGTTCATAAGAAGAAGATGTGATCAGTGAAACAAAAATTTAATTGGCCTAGCGTTTCGGATCCTTACTCGAGCCCATCATCAGAGACGGTTGCAGATATAAGTCGTGGTTCATTGCAGGGTAACCTTGAATGAGTACTGCGCTTTGTTCCATAATAAGGTAGCTCATTGTAATTCTAACTTGAGGCCGCTTTTTAAATTGTCACATGACAACAAACACGAACTTTATGCAAATCTGGCGCGACATTAGAATCTAAGATTTATGGCGAGAACACAAAATTATGTACTGCTTTCTTTTAGGTAACCTAGGTGTTCCCTTACTTACTTCTTTCTCAAACCTATGCCCTTATTTCAGAACGACAGAAAGCAATTTCCTCTCTTCGGGGCCAGTCGTATTTTGCGACTTAGTTAACCGTGTCAGCCATTAACGTTAAGTCGATCTGTGCGGCTTCTGCTTAGGAGAGAAAGAAATTTTTGGTGTGCACAATAATGAACTAGAGAAGGTTTATCTACCTGCAGCTGACATGCAACGGATGATTGGTATAATGACCGCCTTAATTTATCTGTCTGAACTGAACAAGCAGTGCATAGACGGGAAAAGATTTCTTCTTCACTACTTCCGACCGTCTTAAACCTAGGTTGCCAGTAGTCACATAAAATGAAGAAAGACCATGAGTCAATCAAAATGATGAATTACTAATCCAAAAGCTGAGAGTGATTAGGCGAACTTTAAGCTTGTTTACTCAGAGATGGGATCAGTGCAAAAACTGTACACCATGAAAAACATATCGTCGGTAGCCTTGGTTGCTTTACTTTATATTAATATTCTAACGCATCGGTCATTTTAAATACCTTTGCAAGAATTTGTAGAAGCTGGTCTAATAAGGAAAGAATGGATAAGCACTGCCGCTCAGTGGTGTTTTAAGACAAAGATGTGTCTCAAAATTTCCGAACTTAAGTCTGCTTTCTTATTCACGTAATTGCTTATACGCCTCAAGAATTCATAAGTCGTGATAAGTAGTGACACAGTGGAAGGTTGACCTTCAAATAGTAGTTTAATCTTTTCGAAGGTAAATTTACCCTTCTAAGGTAGCAGTGATGCGCGACAAAATCGAAACAAAATATCAGTGTTTTAGGTTTTTTTGCGTGCAGTTGATGTCGTTCTGCGGGAGCTTATTTATTTGACTAATCGTGTAGTTATTGAACGAAACATTGCCATACACGGTCTGCATCGCCTATAATGTCCGATCCTCTAATGAATCTGTTTTAATGTGGGACGACTGATTATTGTAAAGCATCACGCTCTCGCTTTACAAAGATGAAAAAAACAAATGTGGTTTTCAACCGAACTATGTACATGGCCAAAGGTACACATTCGAATAATTCGCATTTCTGAAGGATAACTAGTCGAAATGCGAAGAATAGCTATTGGGTCGATGAGGCATCTGTTATTGAGACAGGTTATATGTACTGCTAAAATGCCCACGATGTATAATTGACGTTTTGGCCAGAGTTATGTTAAAAACAAGCGTAGTCTGCAGGGCAGCGTCTTTCAGCGGTCCGACTGCTGACCGGAACGCATCAGACCCGCTGAGTCTGGATGCTTTTCCATGTTGCTTGGGATGGTCAAATCTAGGATTGACTCAGGATCATCAAAAGAAGATAAAAAAGAGGAAAAGACCGCCCATTTTTCTTGGCTTATCTTCCTTATGATAATTCGACATTTAACTTCATGGAATATGAAAAATACGTGCGAATGATCGAATGATAATTAGCACAATGCCATTTATAGGCTCGAAATATGAGCCAGAACGTGTGCGCTTCATGTCTTCTATCAAAGATATGAGAAAAAATTCTGCTCTATACGACAGAACTTCATAGAATAACGAGGTCGGCAATTGGCCAACATCTACTAACTATGGAAAATGCACTAGCACTCAAATAGTACATTTGAAACAATTATCACAATTTACTGATTCGCGAAAAATGTCTATATAACTAGGTCCATGATGGATCGAGAATGTTATTTTATTCTAAAGACAAATTCAGTAAAGATGGAAACCTTGGCTGCTAAGTGAGTGACGAAATGCCAGTTTTGGCGTCATAACCCCGATATTAGTGGAGAATAGATTGTCGTCGGTCAAAACCTGGCTGTGTCCGTTGGAGCCAAGTCAGCAGACGTTTCAAGAGTTCGGGGTCGGGTTGGAATCATGAAAAGGTGAATTACGAATACTCAATCAACGAGCGCTCGGATGTATTTGGACATAAGACACAAGTGGGTGAGGAACTGGCAGTTTACTTTGAATGTTTCCTACCATTTCTTGCAGCTCTACATGAAGCTATTACTAGGAGGGTGTATGCCTACGTATGTCACCGACTTAAATGCGATGTGCGCCGTGCAGATGGCTCTGCTTAAATAACTGTGGATAGGTTGCCTGTATTTGGTTGCGCTTTGATACGTACAACCGAGTTGGAATTAGTATTTCTTATATTATGGTAGTATATTTAGGGTAATAGGCAATGCCTCTTAAGACCCTACCGAGAAAAGCATGCTGAATTAAATTTCAAATAAACATGTTACTAAAATGTTGTGAGTAACGTGTATTTTCAAGACACAATTCTTCTGCCCATCTCAGGTTGTCGCGATTAGAGGACATGCTTTAATTTGGAAGGAAATTATCTCCCTGTTGGCCATGTGCTGTTCGAAAGATTATGCTGCTGTACTGAAAAAACTCGAGTGACAACTTTTGCACTCCCCCCATTCGAAACAAGCAGTATGCTGTGTATTTTAGGTTAAGGGGATAACATACTAACAGCACAGATACCATCCAAAAGCTCACACACGTGTTTGGCCGATATTCTGCCGCCGCAGGGCACACCTGTGAGGGTTTCGGTGGATTAATGGGTCCCCTCGCACTTCCCGTCTGCTTTCTGATAAATACCTCAGTTTAGAAATTGTTCCTTTCTAGTTTACTAAGAAACTAACAAAGTACTTAGGCTAGAATAGAATAGAATATACTGATCTGCTCCGAGTTTGTAGTTAACTTCTGAGGAAATCAAAAAAGCAACAAAAGATGCAATCAAATATTATTACATCTTCCTGTCTACTAGTGCCTTTTATGGAACATACAATGTGATCCATATACACTGGGAGAGTTTGTGAACCTTAAATGACAACTCCCTAATAGCATGAACGATTCTCGTGGACCCCAGGAAGCTTTACGTGTGATTTCTAAGATCTCATCAGGCTTATCTATGCTACTGGACAAGCGCCTGTTAGTAACAGCGGAGGCGGCCGCCATCAGGTTACGAAAACCAATCTTGTGCGCACAGAAGTACCACATTCAGT